CTGTAATTGCAGCACTTGGGAGGCCCCAGACTGGAGGATTGCTGTTTGAGACCAGCCTGGCCTATGTAGTGAGTTCAAGGCTAGCCTGAGCTATGTAGTGAGCCCCTGTCTCAGAACAACAACAAAAAGCACCAAAAAGCTCAAAGTAATAATTACTTGAGGGGCCTTGGAGATGGCTCAGTAGAATAAGCACTTGCCTGGCAAGCACAAAGGCATGAATTCAATCCCCGGTTCTGGGAGGGGTGGGGGTGGGGGAACAATAATTACTTGAGATAGTTGGGTGTGGGGCTTGAGGAATCCAAGGTGACTCCAAGGTGACTCCAAGGTGGAAGGCTGTAGCACTGTTTATCCACGCGGGAGAGGGCAGGAAGACAGAGCACATATGTCAGTGGGAGGGCGGTGTGCAGTCAGGATTCTGGTTTTGAATGTATTAAGGCTGAGATGTCTATTAAGCAATTTCATTTGAATGTTTACTATTCTAAGCATGCTTTTTAAATTCTTGAAATATGTAATAGTGCAGAAACTTTATGTTTAAATATGGAATATGTTTACAAAAGGGTATAATAATACACATCAAGAGTAACAGTGAATACTCAGGTAACTTGCCATCCAGGGTAAGAAATAGAACAGTATAGAAGGAAGCCTGGGTCTGCTTAGGTTCCCTGTTACATAAGATGATAAAATTCTCTTATCTAAGCCTCTTGCAGTTGGAGTTTCTGAAACACTCTCATTGTCACAGGATGAAAGAGGAAAATGGTACATTCTTTTTGAGACAGGCTATAGCATGAAGTGGTAGCTAACACCAGGCCTAAGGAGAATTCTTAGAGATCTGTTACTGTTGTGTGGTCCTTGGACTTGCGGCATCAGACTGACCCCCAAAATTGTTGAGGAAGTAAAACTCAGTGCCCTGCCCTAGAGGAACCAAAGCAGGTTCTCAGGGAGTGATACTGGGAATCCTGCTAGGCCTCTGTTTCCTGTCCTGTCAACAATGTGAGAAACATGAGGAACTGGGTGTGAAAATGGTTGGGGGGGCAATGAAAGGTCAAGGGGAAGTGGAGAGATTACGCTATGTGAATTTCCATGGACCTACTACCCATGAGGAGTGCAGTTGTTATATGTGGCGAACATGTGAGGCTAGGGCTTAGCTCAGCAGTCTAAGCAGCTGCCTGGCCGGTGCAAGGACCTGAGTTTGATCCCTGGTACCACATGCTGTGCCAGCCCCAGAGCCTGGCTCTGTGGTGCACGCCTGTAATCCCAGCACTTGGGAGGCTGAGATAGGAGGATCACTACGAGTCCAGTCTGTGTAGTGAGACCCTGTACCAAGTGAATAAATAAATAAATTAATTAAAAAGAAAAGCATTGTGAAATAGAAAGAAAAGAAATAGAACATTTTAAGTATGTCAGGAACTACAGAAGTATCTTTCCCTCATGATTGTAGTATCCGTCAAGGGCTAAGCACTAATTTGATTTTTTTTTTTTTTTTTTTTTTTTATTTTAGGGAAGGGTCTACAGGGTGTTCAAGGTCTCACTACTAGATTGGACTCGTAGTGATCCACCTGTTTATAGCCTCCCAAGCGCTGGGATTCAGGCGTGCGCCACCACACTAGTCTCAGTTACCATCTCAGTGTGCCCTGGGGGTGGGGCCAGCACTGCAGGCCCTGGGGATCAAACCCCCAGCCACTGTGCCTGCTTGCAGAATTTCCTTTATAGTTTTACCATGTCTCTATGCCTAAATGGTGTATTGTTTAGGTTAGCTTATTTTTGAACATAATATAAATAGAAACACATTGATTGGTCTTTAATTATTTGTATCACTTACTTAAAATGAATTTTGGGATTCTTTTCTGTGGATGGGAGGCCTGATAGTTTATTCGGTGTCACTGCTTCATGGTGGGCTTCATTTTGGGACTACCTTGCCACCTGGTGACCCGTTCTCATGTTTATGCTTCGGGTTACTTCTTTGTCTGCTTCAATATTTGGTACTGATTGCAATGCTTGCCGGCCTGCTGGCTGAGAAATGGTGTCTCAAGGTGGTTTTAACTTGCTTCCTGGTTACAAGTAGGGTGAACTGCTTTTCGTATGTTTACGGAGCATTTATGTCTTCTGTTGAAGACTGGGCCCCTTTGTGTGTTCTGCTCATTTTTCTGCTGCTTATTGACTTATGATTTCTCTGTTTGTAAAATTTTCATAGTGTTTTATTAGAAAATTTCGGACATAGACAAGTGGAAGGAATTCTGCAGTGAGCATCCTCTGCTCTTGCGGTTAGCACTGAAGTATGTATCTGCTCATTTCTCCACTCGTGTAATAATGTCTCATTTTTATACACTTCAAAGAAAATTACAGACATCAGTTTACTTCCTCCTAAATAGTCCAACATGCATATAATTAACTAGAAATAAGTACTTAAGTTTTTTTTTTTCTTTTTTAAAAATGTATTTAGTACAGGGTCTACAGGGTCTCACTTATACAGAACTGACTCATAGCGATCCTCCTGTTTTCAGCCCGGGATTACAGGCACGCACCACTATGCCCAGTCTTTTTTTTTTTTTTTTTTTTAAGATATAGGTCACATATGTAATGCGCATTGGATTATTTGAGTTTTGACTAGTTGATGTATCCTAGGATTAGAAATCCCTATCAAGTTAGTAAAGCAGTTTTGATGGGAAATACATTCACACGACTCAGGTTTTCAAAAGTAAGTCTTGTTTCTAGTTTTTCGTCTCTTCCATCCCAGTTGACCCCTTACTCATCCTCTGTGACTTTTTTTTTAATTTTTTTGACTATTTTTATTACATATATATTTTTTTCCAGAGCTTCTTTATACAAGTACATATTCTTATTTCTTTTTCTACTTTAATATAAAAGTAAACAGGTACACTTCTGCTTCTTGTTTATTCTCATAACCTTGTGTCTCAGCTCTTTGTATGTTTGGATAGAGAAGTGGTTCTTGGTTTTTTGAGGGGTGGGGTTTAATACAGGGTCTCACAGTGCTAATTCAGGCTGACCTCAAACTCATTACATAGCCCAGGCTGGGACTGAACTCAAGGTGATCCTTCTGCCTCAACTTCCC